ACCTGAATCCATGTCACATATACATCACTTTCTATGTAATGATAGACAAGCAATGTAAATTCCGAGGCACAGATTAATCTATAAAATGGGAAAAACATTCTCTATGCCCAAACCCAATGCTGGGAGCATGATGTGGGCACACAGGCAATCTTTATAAATTGTAAAGTACAATCTACACCTAAGGATCATACCTGCTGTATTTCTACCACTCTGAATAGCAGTTTTCATTACCAAAGAGGACAATGAGGGTTAAGCTGAATGTAAATTGAGAATGAGAACTGTGTTTCAGATGTTGTCCGTATCAATGTTTTCTTTATCCTACCTGTGGGATGCAGCAAAGTTTGAGTAAACATGAGGAGGACCCAAAGCTGAACATCCTAGAGCCCTCGTGGATGAAGTATTGAATATGCACCAAGTCAAGCCCTAGAAGGCACACCTGAGCATCCCCATTACAGAGAAACAGGTTTCTTTTCTTTTTCCCCTATAACCCAGACCTCTCAGAACCTGACTTACGTGTTAAGGAAAGCCTTTTCTCGTCTCGTTTCCTGGCTTTCCCTCATGGATCCATCCTCTAGACATCTATCAGACTAGTCTTTCTAAACTGCAAATCTGAGCCTGTCAACCCTATGACTGCCATACCCAACCCCTACCCCGCCAGGGGCCCCTTTTCTACACCTCAAGTCCAGGCTCCCAAATTCTGCATCCAAGGCTCTCCACAAACCAACTTCTCTCTGGTTAATCTCCTGACACATCCCTAAAGGTACCACCCTTCAACCACCCCACACTCTTCTTCCCCAAAATCCCCATACCTTCTCCCACCTCTAAACCTTTGCCTTCTATACAAAATCCTCCTCTCCCTTGCCTAGCTATTAATCTCTAGCACAAACTTCAGAACCAGTTCAAAAGTTACTTTCCCCAGGAGCCTGCTGTGGTCCCGCAAGCCACTTCCTTTCGCTGTGCTCCTGTGGTAGTTTGTTTATGTCTCTATAACGGAATTTTCTCCTTATTTAGTAGAGGGCTCACACCAAGTCCTCAACGTTGCTGAACATATGAATGGATTCCTTTCTTTTGCCAAGACAGAAACAGAGACCACTAAAAGGTCTAGGTTTTTCTGTCTGTTTCAATCCAAAAGCAACACCAGTAACGGCTGGTGAGTGGGAGGTACTCCAGTTAAATAAGAAGCCTAGTTACCAGAAACATGCTGATAAGCTATGCAAGGCTAGTGTGTTATGTTCCACCTGTGCATTTATCCTAGCACCATAAGGCAAAAGTACCACCCGCCATGTTTCCTCAGGCTCTGAGTAAGCCAGTACTTCCAAGACCGCCTGTAAAATAGTCATGTGAGATGGACACATCCAAATTCTTAAGATTATAAGCAAAAGTTAACTAGAGACACAACTGTGCTATAATACCTATATAAAAAGAAGGAAACCACAGCCAAACCATCTTGTTGGAAATATGTATGTAACTTGATGTGTAAAGGTAGTCATGATGAGATGCCAGGAAGCTTGAGTCACTGGCATGCTTACCTGAGGAAAGCATTTAGAGTATATAGCGCTGTTTTGGTCTGCCCAGTGACCTGAAACAAAATACCGCCTTCTCTGGGTACCTGCTCATCCCCTTCCAAGCATGTGGTTCTAGGGGTGGCTGCCAATGATGGTATACACATACACACACACACACACACACACACACACACACACACCCTTCTGCCAAGGCACAATGAACATGTGACCCAAATTGAGATTCTCAGTATATCACCATCCTGACAAGAGACCAGCCAGGGTAGCAAACTGTGGGAGTCCTTTTTCCTCTTCTGCAATAAACTGGGAAGACGCAATCCCAGCATGACTGGCAATGAGGAGTTCAACCACTGGGAAATGGAGTATGGATGCAAGAAAAATAAGCCAGCTCTCAGAGATAGCCTGTCCTGGTAGTGTTCCAGAGCTCCTGTCCTTCCAGCAGTTTACACAAAGCAATCAAGTTCCCTTTCTACCAAACTTAGTTCAAGCCAGGTTTCTGGCACTCACAAGAAAGTCCTACCCATAGTATACTCACCCCAATCCCTGCCCTCTTGCCATCATAGTCCCCTTCCATTCCTTGCCAAATAACTCCATATGAAGATGTATACATGTTACGTAGGAGTACATCTTTTTATCCACAGCAGCCCAAAATTCTTCTAGAAGTACCAGAATTTACATGGAAAAGTAAGTTATGAAACCAACAAATAATGTCTAACAACAGAGGTATACCTAAGAATATTACAGTATATACACTTGATGTAGTGTTATACAGCCATTTCAAATGATTACAGAGACTGTGTGTGTGTATCTGTGTGTGTATGTGTGTATGTGTGTGTCTATGTGTATATCATCCCCTCATCCTCAGCCATCCAAATTTTACCCAACATATATAATGGCAGTGGGTAAAGGGGGATAATTGTTTTAAACTAGAAAAAATTGTCATCTAATAGTGAAGAATATAAGAATTGACTATGAAACGTGCGGCTCTGGACCCCCCGGCCAGCCTTCTCTTTATCTCATCTATGTAAAGGCACACTATGCAAATCTTTCTCCTCTCATTCTCAAGTGTCAGCCCCTCCTAGAAGATTTCCCTAACTACTGCATCGCACAGGATCTTTTGCACTGAGTATAGGTTATATTAATTAGCTGTGGATTTTAAACTGTTTTGTATTTTGTCTTATATAACATTTTAATCTCCTTTAGAAAAATAAAACTTTCAGAGGTTATGTATTGTAATCCCATCAGTATCTAAAGCAGATACATTTTGTGTTCAGTAACATCCAACAAATATGAGAAACAGGTTTTTTAATAACATGCAATAAACTAGTGTACTCTAACATTGCTGGTGGCAGCATAAAATGAGCCAGCCTTTTGGACAATTTGGCAACATGATTAACCAGTATAAAATACTGGCCAGGTACAGTGTCTCACACCTGTAATCCTGGCACTTTCAGAGGCCAACATGGGAAGATCACTTGAAACCAGGAGTTTGAGACCAGCCTGGGCAACACAGCTGGACCCTGTCTCCACAAAAAATAAAAATTAAATTAGCTGGGCATGGTGGCATTCACCTGAAGTCCCAGCTACACAGGAGGGTGAGGTAGTCAGATCCCTTGAGTCCAGAAGGTTAGGCTGCAGTGAATTATTAGCATGCCACCGCACTCCAGTTTAGGAATAGTACGAAATTCTGTCTTAAAAAAAGTGTGTGCGTGTGTGTGTGTGTGTGTGTGTGTGTATACATATATATATTTATATATACATATATATATTTATATATTTATATATATATTTATATATACATATATATATTTATATATTTATATATATATATATTTATATATTTATATATATCGGCACTATCTGACCCAGTAATCTCACTCCACAGGATCTATCCTAGGGATTTCAAGAGAAAATACCCTTAAGTCAAAAGATGTCCACTATGGCACTAAATAGCCAAAATGTCCAACAAAGAAAATTATTAAGTAAATCATGTGAAATCTACTCTATGAAAGAACATGCATCATCATTCAACTTGAGTGTTCTGGAGCCTACAACATGCGATGGTGCCTATGATAGACTAAGTGATCAAAGAATACAGAATGGTATGTAGCCACTGATTAGACCTGGAGCCCAGGTGCACCAAGAGTAATACTGAAAATCAGAAACAGTTACTTTGTCAGGGTAGCGGAATTATAGCTACCATTTTCTTATTTTTCTAGATATCCTTTATCGTTACATTAATGTTTGTTAAAATTTTATTAAAATATGCAAACAGGGATTTCCCTCTCTGGATCCCCTCTCACAACAGCATGGGAGCTTGAAAACAAATTAATTAATTAAATATGCAAACATTTGCATTTCAATTCTTTCTTCAATGTTAACACTGGGATTTCAAATTCTGGATCCTGGTGACCGTACCATCGGCAGCCACCAGAGAACTAACCACTGGTACTCTTTTGAGTCCTCTGCTCTAATGACCGCCTGGCCCAGGATCTCAGGCAAACAATTCAATTAACCTGCATGGCAACGATCACTCAGACTCTGACCCCAATCCTACCTGACTGCACCAACACTATGTATATGGATGCAACTCTCAAGAGGGATTAAATTAAAAGACACTGAATATTTAAGTTTAAGTATAATTGAAATGTAATAAGCCTACCAAATTCAGAGTGGATTTTTAAATGCTAATGCCCAAAGCTAAATAGAGTACAATCATTAAAAAGATCACCTAGAGAAACCTGGTATAATCTTTCTGTAGAACAATTTGAATATATCTATAAAACAGTCCTTAAAATACTCATACTCTTTGGCCCAGATATTATACCTCTATCAGGAATAATTGGTGAGGTGGGATAGTGGCATGTGCCTACAATCCCAGCTACTCAGGAGGCTGAGGTGGGAGGATCACTTGAGCCCAAGAGTTCAGGAAAAGCCCAGGAAAAAGAGTGAGATCCTATCTCAAAAAAACAAAAAAGGAAGAATCAGTGGATAAATATTTATGTACAAGAATATTTGCTGCAGGAGTCAGGCAAAAAAAAAAAAGGTAAATAACCCAAATGCCATTCAGAAAAGAGTTAGTTAAATAAATTGCAATACATCCAAGTGCTGAAATATTATGCTGGCACAAAAAAATTGTTTTTGAAGAACATTCATGATATGGCAATACACCAGAGAGAGAACATTAAACTTAAAAAAGCACGATACAAAACTGTATTTTCAGCTTGTTACCAACTGTGTGTGTGTGTGTGTGTGTGTGTGTGTGTGTGTCAGAGAAAGAGAATAAAAGGACTATCAAAAAGAGAAATATCAAATAGATCAAATGAAGATGGTCATTTTGAGGTAGTAAGATAATGAGTACAATTCTTTCTTAAATCTTCCGTACTGAATATCACCCTACAACCAGACAAACACAGCCACATAGTCCCAGCCCCAACACACTGCCCACTGTGTCAGAAGCGCAGGGCAGGTACTCACACGGATGGTGCAGTCTCCTTTGCTCTTCTCTCGATGGGCTTCCTCCAGGTCCTTCTCCAGTCTCTCCCTCTCCTGCTGCAAGTCACTCAGCTCCTGGGTGATCTTCTTAATGCTTCTACGCAGCCTGTGGTTCTCTGTACTCTTGGTGAGGTTTTGTGAGCGCAGCTCAGCCAAAAGGGCTTCCTTTCCTGATAGAGCAGCCTCATAGCCTTCAGACCCCTAGAAGAAAAGGCAGTGAGGCAAGATGAGCTAATTTTCATACCTCATGAAACAAACCAAGAAACCTGGGCTCTTTTTCACCTTGGGGGAGAAAAAGAAAAAAAAAGATTGACATAGACAACATTCAGAATCCAAACCAAAAATAATAGGAAGATTTTGGAATAACACAAGGTAATGTTTCTTACGATGTGATGTTAAGGAAGAAAAGAGTATGGTTGTGTGAAAGAAGTATTTTCTTAAAGGACCAGAAGAAAAGCACAAATTTTCACACTAACTGTCTTTAGTTGGGTTAGACTATAATTTATTTTCTTCATATCTCTGTATTTTCAACTCTTCTAAGGTAAATGAGCATGTTACTTTAATAATGATTTAAAAATCAATTTAATCAAGTCATTTTTAAATGGTAAAAAATGAAGACTTTCATTTGAAAATATGAAAGTTGTCAGAATCAAAATGGAGTCATTTGTGTTTAAAAAAAAAAAAACACCTTGACAAATAGATTCAGGTAAGGCTATGAAGACGGATTACTCAGGCATAAATGCCTCACAACAAAAGCTATCACAAAAAACTCTAAAAACCACAACCTTGCACAAAGGCCACTGCAATCCTACACAAAAATACTTCTCCAAGGACATCTGCCCAGCAACTGCCTATCCCACCAAGGGCTGGTGTCACCCTTGTTACTGATCCTTGCAGCCAAGGATAAGTATCTCAATACAGTTACGTAATTCTTATTTTTCTGTAAAAATCTTTGTCTTCCTTAACCTCCCTGAATACGCACATAGCTATGACACATGTATTCCCACTTCAATGTCCTATTGCTGAATAAGTATCATTTTATTTTAGAGAGATTCTCTCTGTTGTTTAGGTTGACAAAAAACAGAGTTGTATGTAAGCACTTGCACTGTTCATCCACATAAGAATGGCTCAAACCCAGAGTCATTTGGAGAGAAAAAAAAAGTGGTCAGCATGCTAGTTCCATGGCCAGCCTGAGAGACTATAACTTCAGCAAAGTCCAAGTGCAAAATGAGTCAAGAATATGTGGTATTTCAGTAATACACAGTTCACTAAAGAAAACACATACGATTGGCCAGGTGCAGTGGCGCATGCCTGTAATCCCAGCACTTTGGGAGGCCAAGGCGGGCAGATCACCTGAGGTCAGGAGTTTGAGACCAGCCTGACCAACATGGAGATACCCCATCTCTATTAAAAATACAAAATTAGCTGGGCGTGGTGGTGCATGCCTATAATCCCAGCTATTCGGGAGGCTGAGGCAGGAGAATCACTTGAACCCATCAGGCGGAGGTTGCGGTAGGCCAAGATTGTGCCATTACACTCCAGTCTGGATAACGAGTGAAATTCCATCTCAAAAAAACAGAAAACACATACAATTATCAAATACATGTACATCTGTGAAATGGGAAGTAATTACCTCTCTTTTTTAAAAATTATATTTTTTCCTTCTTTTTTTTTCTGAAAGCTGGTTTACCAGCATTCCACTAAATATAGCATATATACAGAAAGGTACACAAATCATCAGTGTACAGCTCAACAAATATTCTCAAACTGAACACGCTCATACCAAGAAACACATTCTTAGCCAGGCACAGTGACTCACTGACTGTAACCCCAACACTTTGGGAGGAATGAGCTCTATTTTGTTATGATCCTTGTGAAGATTAAATAGGATACACAAGCTGGGTATGGTGGCTTAGGCCTATAATCCCAGCACTTTGGGAGCCTGAGGCAGGTGGATCACCTGAGGTCAGGAGTTCAAGACCAGTCTGACCAATATGATGAAACCCCATCTCTACTAAAAATACAAAAATTAGCAGGGCCTGGTGGCCGGCGCCTGTAGTCCCAGCTACTCGGGAGGCTGAGACAGGAAAATTGCTTGAACATAGAAGGCTGAGGTTGCAGTAAGCCAAGATTGTGCCACTGCACTCCAGTCTGGGTGACAGAGCAAGACTCCATCTCAAATATATATAAATAAATCTAGTTCTACATTTCCTTTACTTATTCCATTATCTTTCATTCCCAATCAAAAGATAACAGAGGTTCCACAAACCAAATGCTATATAGTAACACTATTAACCAAGAATTTGAAAAACAGACCAAAGTACTGTTTTTGTCCAAATACCACCTAATCTAAGGGTGAGCTAACATTTATTGTGCCCACATACACTTTCTTATTTAATCCGTGTGTGATTATCTAGATTTTACAATGCACAAACAGACTGGGAAAGCTCCAATATCTTGCCCAAGGTTACAGTTAGTGACATGGTTTGGCTGTGTCCCCACCCAAATCTCTTTTTTTTTTTTTGAGACGGAGTTTCGCTCTTGTTACCCAGGCTGGAGTGCAATGGCGCAATCTCGGCTCACTGCAACCTCCGCCTCCTGGGTTCAGGTAATTCTCCTGCCTCAGCCTCCTGAGTAGCTGGGATTACAGGCATGCACCACCATGCTCAGCTAATTTTTTGTATTTTTTTTTTTAGTAGAGACAGGGTTTCACCATGTCGACCAGGATGGTCTCAATCTCTTGACCTCGTGATCCACCTGCCTCGGCCTCCCAAAGTGCTAGGATTACAGGCTTGAGCCACCGTGCCCGGCCCTCCAAATCTCATCTTGAATTGTAGCTCCCATAATTTCCACCTGCCGGTGGGAGGGACCTGGTGGGAGGTAACCGAATCATGGGGGCAGGTATTTCCCATGATGTTCTCATGATAGTGAAAAAGTCTTCTCACAAGTTCTGATGGTTTTATAAAGAGCAGGTCCCTTGCACATGCTCTCTTCCCTGTGACCATGAAAGACGTGTCTTTGCTCCTCCTTCACCTTCCACCATGATTGTGATTCCCCAGCCATGAAGAACTGTGAGTCTATTAAACCTCTTTTCTTCATAAATTCCCAGTCTCAGGTATGTCTTTATCAGCAGCATGAGAATGAATTAGTACAGTTAGCAAGAGAAGAGTCAAGATTCAAATCCGTGTCCCACTCCATGTTCTTCCCAGTAAAAATAATATGGTACCTCCATATAATGGACTATACACAGTTGTTTAAAAAGACTGAGTAACACAGAGCTAAATATGCACACACCCCCAGACATAAACGAATGAATGCATGTCAACTGCTAAAAATCTAAATAAGGTATCCTGTACTAATGTCAATGTCCTAGCAGTGATATTATATTACAATTGGCCGGGCGTGGTGGCTCACGCCTATAATCACAACACTTTGGGAGGCCGAAGCGGGTGGATCACGAGGTCAAGAGATCAAGACCCTCCTGGTCAACATGGTGAAACCCCGTCTCTACTAAAAAAAAAATACAAAAATTAGCTGGGCATGGTGGTGCATGCCTGTACTCCCAGCTACTCGGGAGGCTGAGGCAGGAGAACTGCTTGAACCCAGGAGGCAGAGGTTGCAGTGAGCCGAGATCGTGCCATTGCACTCCAGCCTGGGTAACAAGAGCGAAACTCCATCTCAAAAAAAAAAAAAAAAAAAACAAACAAACAGAATAAAACAATATTATATCACAATTATGCAAGATGTTACCTTTAGGAGAACTGGGTAAAGACAATACAGAATGTACATGTAAATCTATAATTATCTCAAAATAAAAATTAAAAAGGAAAAGATTGGGTAGATCTATATATACTGCCATGGCAAGAATGTTAAATTTTTTAAATGGTCATAGAACAAAATACATATTATGATCGTATTTCATTGTTTAAAGTTTACATGTATACATGTATAAATACGCATTAGAGTCAAAGCAAGAGGTGAGTTTACTATGATTTCTATCGACCTCTTACCACTGCTTTAAGTATTTTATAAATTTCCTACAATGTGCATTTTTACTTTAAAAGCTGGAAGGATGCTGTTTCCAATTTGAAAATATTTTTTAAATGAGTATGGAGGTAGCAGCAGCCAGGCCACACTATCACCTAAACAGTGATAGCAGTGATCAGAATTCACATCTCTGTGCTTCTGAACTTTGGCAATCACTTCAAGAGTTTAAATATCACCTGCTATTGCTTCAATATCAGGCTTGATGCCAACCCTGTGAACACTGGCTATTTAACTCATGCTGCAGCTGGCTCAAATCACATGATATCCAAAAAAGATCCCAATATACGGCGGGAAAAAATGCATTTACAAGTATCTGTGTACCATTCAAACTACGCAGACCTCACAATGAGATCGCTAATGTGCGTTCACTCACACACCAGCAGAGGAGTGGAAAGAACATAGGCTTTGAAGACAGACTTGAGTTCAAGTCCTACAAAAACTCACTGATTTGTAAATCTACTTTATTGGGCAAGGATTAAATGAGGATTCTCTGAAGAGCCAACCTGACATGTAAAACCTGAGGAGTTACAACAGTATCCGATCTCTGTGTGCTGCAAGATAAGAAATCTGACCAGCACTGTACACTGTAAGACCTCAAAACTCATTCTTAAAGTGTTTTGACTAAGACTGGGGGTTATTAAGTTAAATGTACGTAATAAATCTGGGTAACATTTAAATTTACAAGATCCCTTTCTTTCCTTTAAGGCCCATTATAACAAGTAAAATATCACAATGTTTATACCAGTCTCTCTAGCTATCAGCAGCCAACAGATTTTTTCCCAAGCAATGGAAAACATAATTTTCCCAAGAATTCAGCTTCTAAAGCTTGTTATTTTCTATGCAAGGAAAAAGAGAAACAGTATAAAGTATAATCTTAGCTCCATTTCATCAACCACTGTCAAAACGGTGAGAGAAGGCAAGTCTGAGATTCCAAAAGCAAAGATTTGTCTATGTTCCTAGCGTACCATGATTTAAACCAAATTACTTCAATTATTCTTATTGTGAACCAAAGCTCTGCAAAAGATAAGGCATGGGATATGAATCTTGGAAATGAAACAGTCTTAAATTAGATTTAATTTCTAACTTCTACATTACAACCAAAAGCAACATCAGTGCAAGGGGTGGGAGGAGGAAGCTTTAGGCAGCAGGGATTTATTTTGTTGATGACACTTTATTGATTTATTAAGTCATTAGTGATAGGTATAAGCTGCATAGAAAACTAGAAACATGAGAAGACGCACATTAAAATAATTTAAAACACAAAGTTAAAATTAGGAAGAAAGAGGGGTTGATCAGCAGGAGTCCTTGTAGTTCCACATTGATGGGTGGAGGGAGGAGAGAAAAGGCAGGTCAAAAACATCAAGGTCTGGAACAGAACCTGGAAAGGAGCCGCTGAGACCAAAGCAGCCAGGTGAGGGAGATATGGGTTGACAGTAAAAGCACAGTCTTTGGAGTCAGATTGGCTCTGGAGTCAAATCCTAGCTCTATTACTTAACAGTTTGGGGACCCTAAGCAAGTTACTACAATTTAACTTGGATTTCCTCAGCAGTAAAAAAAAAAAAAAAAAGAAAGAAAGAAAAGAAAAGTAATAGTATTTACTTCATTGAGCTGCTATGCAGATAACTGAGATAATCTATGGGGAGCACTTAGCAGGCCTTGGCACCTAGTATGTGTTCAATAAATGTCTCTTGCGATTATTAGCAAGTACTACACTAAAATCTTGGCTCTGCCATTTGTTAACTATGTGACACTGAACAAGCCGCATAGACTCCTGAGCCTCAAAACCTCACAAATACGGTCAAGCACAGTGGTTCACACCTGTAATCCCAGCACTTTGGAAGGCCAAGGTGGGTGGATCACTTGAGGTCAGGCGTTCGAGACCAGCCTGGCCAACATGGTAAAACCCTGTCTTTAGTAAAAATTAGCCAGGCATGGTGGTGGGCTGTAATGCCAGCTACTCAGAATGCTGATGCAGGAAAATTGCCTGAAGCCAGGAGGTGGAGGTCGCAATGAGCAGAGATTGCACCACTGCACTCGAGCCTCAGCGACAGAGCGAGGCTCCATCTTAAAAAAAAATTCACAAACACAAGGGGGATGATGATTACCTTCCCCACAGGCTGGTGAAGATTAAACGAGATAATCCACGTATCTTCCACTATTACTTAGCACAGAGCACACTCAGCACTCCTAAATGTGGAGGTACTTATTATCATATCGAGGAGGGGGCTGGAAAAGCTCCCAAATCTGGTGGAGAATTTCCCTTTAATTAGACCGAATGAATTCTATCACTAAAGACCACCCACAGTTTTCCTTATTAAAATCAACCAAGTTCCTTTCAGCTGCAGAGTCCTCGCCTCACCAGGGGTCAGGATCAAAGAGACAGCCACTTAAGTCAAAATGAACACTTACCTGGAATTCCTGGGTCTGTGCTTTCTGCAGGGCCTCTCTGGCTTTAGCAAAGGCAGCACTGAGCTCTTCAATTTCAGAGTTAAGTCCTTCAACCTGGGGAAGAATCAAGAATTCCAGCCAAGTATATGAGTGGCCCCTCCTCTCTCAGCACAGCTCACATGCTTTTCCTGCTCAATTGTGTCGTGCTTATAATCAAGGGCTTTGTAGTCAGAAAAGATCCCAGTGGGATTTCCAGTTTAAGCCGGTTACTAGCTGGGTAACTTCAGGCAAGGTACCTAACATCTTTGAGACTCCATTGCCTCAACTGTAAAACAAGGGTACCACCACTCACCCAGCTATTGTGTTGTTAGGGTTAAATAAGGTAATGTGCATCAGTGCTAAAATAATGCCTGGTTCATACTGTTACAATTATTATCTGTATAGATTACCTACCCAACAACCTAGCCTGGGTATCCCCAAATTCCTCATCTTCCAGTGACTTTCTCCTACACCCTGGAGTTGGCCATGAACCACTGTGGCCACACCCTGAACTTTGCCAGCACCCAGAGCAGCTCCGCCACCAATGTCCTGACACACTGAAGCCCTCCATCTCTCCTGGGCCTAAAACTCCCCACACGTGATACAGTGTTGACTTTTTTTTTTTCTTTTTTTGAGACAGGTTCTTGGTCTGTCACCCAGACTAGAGTACAGTGGCCAATCACAGCTCACTGCAGCCTCAACTTCCTGGCTCAAGCAAGTCTGCCTCAGCCTCCCAAGTAGCTGGGACCATGGGTACATGCCACGATATCTGGCTACTTTTATGTATTTTTATAAGAGATACAGTCTCACCTTGTTGCCCAGGCTGGTCTCAAATTCCTGGCCTCAAGCGATCCTCCCACCTCAGCCTCCCAAAATGTTGGAATAAAAGGCCACCATGCCCACCATGACTACTATTACTAGGAGGCAAATCTCTGCTGCCTCTGACACTGGTGATGATTCAAACTCCTTAGCAACACCACCACAGTTTCCTGGTTAGGTTCCTACTTCTGCAACCATTCCTTCTGTCTCCTTCGTGCATTCCTCTTCCTATCCCTGAAATTCTGATGTCCTCTGCAATCCCATCGTCAACCTTCTTTCCCATTCTATACTCTGCTTAGATAAGTAGATCAGCTCTCAAAATCTTAACTCACACCTGTACACAAGGGATTCCTAGACTGAGCTCTTCAGGACTGAGCTCTTCCCAAACTTTAGGCATGCACATTATCTGCTTCCTGGACATCTCACATGGATTGTCCATGGACTATGGGCTCCTCAAAATCAGCACTTTCTAATCAGATTCATCATATCTACCACAGGCCCAAATCTTGCCATCAGCCTCCACTGTCCATGCTTTGAACTGAGTCAGTGGCACCACTACACCTCTAGTCATGTAAGCCAGACACCTTGAAGTCATCCTTCACTATGCTTCTCAGATGTACCACATCTAATCTTCTAATTTTCCTAACCCTATTTCTAATTACTTTGAATTTTATTTCTTGAATAAGCCCCTCTCCCTCCATTCCTACTTGCTGTGCCCACTGCTCTAATTTAGCCTTTCTTGGCTCTCACGGAGGTTACTGGTCTCCCAGCCTCCATTCTCTCCCTTCTGCAATCCACTCTTGAGATAGAGCTAGGGACCTCTCCAAAATGAAAACGTGCTTAAGAGTTTTCAGAGGCCTTAAGTGCCACTCGAGCAGCTCAATATGATTAGTTCCCCCAACCCCCACCGGCTGGCCACTTGAAGAAGCTTCAACTTCTCTCTCCTTCTTTAAGTTTTATGCTTTGTGCTCTGACAACTCCAAACTGTCTGTGGTGCACATAGGGTCTCTCCTAACTAAACACCTTGACCAATGTTCTCCGTCTGTCCAAAATGGCCTCCGCGTCCCTGCCTTCCTTCCCAACTAACTCCTACTCATCCTTTAAGATGCAGCTCAGACACCTCCTCTAAGCACTACTCCCCACACGTGACATCCACACCTAATCTAAATCAGGTCCCCTTCCCTCTACCTCCCCAGCTCCCTACACTTCCCTCAGTCACAACACTCATCACTCTTTCTTCCCCAGTAGACTTGCAGGCAGAGCTGGGTTTTCTTCTCTGTGTCTGTGCCTAGCATAGTTACTAGGACACAGGAGACTGCCATAGTAAGGACAAGAAAACAGCACAGAACCATCAGCTACCATCTTGGATCACAAAGGCAACACTCAGGTAGCTCTTTAACCGGCTCAGCCATGGCCTTGCCTCCCAAAACTCCTTTATCTCAATTTTCTCTTACCCTTCAAAAGATTAGACCTGCATCATCCAATGCAGCAGTCACTAGCCACACGTGGCTCTCAGCATGTGAAATGCAGTTAGACTAAACTGAGGTGTGCTGTAAACACATCTGGACTTCAAAATGCTTAGTTCGGGGGGAAAAAGTGTCGACTATCTCATTACTTTTATTTTATTGATTTCATATTGAAATGATTATGTTTAGGGATATATATATATATATATATACACAATCAAAATTAATTTCATTTCTTTTTACTTCTTTTAATGTGGCCACTAGACAGTTTTAAATCACATATGTAACTCATATTTCTACTGGACAGCACTGGATTAGACACTCCAAAAGAATTTCCGGTTGACTACAGGATCATTTCCTCACTTCACTATCTCAGTTCTCTTATAAACTTTTTATCTAAAGCTAAAAATTCAGGGTAGGACAGGCCAGTCATAGAAGCTAATAAAGAAAAATCTTACTTCAAGTGTATCAGACATACCTCTTTTTCCTTTGATTTTAATGCCATGGTTAAACCCTGAATGGCTTTATCCCTCTTTAAACTATTTTTCTTCTCTGTAGAAATTTCTCTTTCCTTCTCTCTCAGGTCCTCCTCAAGTGCCTAAATTAGATTAGAAAAAGATTCACTAAGTTGATGCGTTCCGACCAAAATGCACTGTAAATATATCTTTAAGAGCACACTCAAAGGCAGTTATTCTATCTTATTCCTGTCAACCTGTGATTAATGTTTCCAAGTGGAGCTGAACACAGTGGCATCAGCTCCAAGTTACTGTGTTACTGCTCCCGGCAACAGGGCTGGGTGAAGGGAAGGGGATCAAATCAGTTAAGACGATGACAGCTATTCCTATGGGAAGGATTCCAATGCCTTCTGGAATTTGAATACAGTCACTCAGAGTCTTTGAAACCATACCAGGTTATTTGGGGGAAATAACAGATCATTAATTTCATTCCTTTTGATGGAGACTGAACTATACATTTATAGTCTGAGTTCATTTCTAAAGATAATCACCACTGCCTCCCTCCCGGGCTGTTGCGAGGATCAAATGGGATAATGGATGTGAAAGCACTTTCTAAGCTGGCAGGCACTACACAAATGCCTCCTGCTGTGACAGAGGGAGGTCCGAATCCTTGCTCTACCTCTTCCTAGTTATGTGCTCTTAGGCAAGTGACCTCACCTCTCTGGGCCTCAGGTACCACATCTATAAAATGGGAATGCCTACTTCACAGAGTTATTGCAAAAATTAAGAAACACTTTCTAGAGTACCTTAGGCTTGGCTGGCATACACCAGCATTCAATGAATGACAGCTATTGTGACACAGAATTATCTGCTGCACTCAGAATAAAACAAGAGGCAAGAATAGGCTAAATCTTCAATAAATTTTTAAAAATTGTATCAACATACCTGGATCCTCTCTTCAAAGCTGTTTCTCTCCTTCTGATGTTCCATTTGTGCAGCCTAAGAAAAGGCATTAATTGGTGTCAAGAAGAGACATGCAATCCAACAGCTTCTCCAGAACAATTAGAATGAGCACGTCCTTGTTGCCTACTCACTTTCCCGCACTACTGTGGAACTCATTAAAACAAGTGTCCCCTCCCTCTCTCTGCCTCACCCAAAGTCCCACCTGATTTGAATGAAGAAAAACGTGAAGACAAACAACTTACACTAGTTGATCACCAGCCCCACAGAGAGTAAACCAAGGTGCTGCTGAACAAGATGGAGGCCTACTAGACGGCAGGGCCAGGGCAGTGGGAAAGAGGGTTGAGAGGAGGGGCAGGAGACAACTGTGGATTACAGATGAAAACGAACTGCCAAGGCTACAGCATTCACTGCCATGGCAGGAACACAGGCCCTGCCCCAGGAGGAAATCAAGACTTTCTGTGAACAACTGGAACATCCCCAATGTGAACATACCACGTGCAGCAGCTACTCTTAGTCCAACAAGAATGGAAGGCCTAGACTCAGACCTACCTGCACTTCCCTGGCCTGCCCACCCTCTTCAAAAGAGCTTGCTGGGGAGGCCACCTAGTGCAGGGGCAGGAGTCCAGGGAGGCTTTGGGGTGAGCTACTTGGAACCTGGAAAAATCTAACAATTCCTCTGAGCCTGTTTCTAAACTTGACAGAGACCATGAGCTATATCTCACCAGGTGGCTAAGGGGACTAAACGAGGGGGTATGCGGAACATCTCCTGTGCTGCCAAGCCTGATACAAGTTAGTCCTCTTCCCACCCTACCTCTCAAGTTGCAGACAAAAGTTGGCCTCACGCCTACTTCTAACCAAAGAGGCAAGATGAAAAACAACACACCACAACTGCATCCTAAGAAAACCCAAAGGATGAATATCAAGTCCCCAGGTAATGGCAAATCAATACATGGTAAAACAGAGCCAAGTAGGTAGGCACTGGTTTTCTTAAGCAACTCTTTTTTTTTGTTTTTTTGAGATGGAGTTTCGCTCTCATTACTCAGGCTGGAGTGCAATGGCGCAATCTCGGCTCACCACAACCTCTGCCTCCTGGGTTCAGGCAATTCTCCTGCCTCAGCCTCCCGAGTAGCTGGGACTACAGGCATGCGCCACCATGCCCAGCTAATTTTTTTGTATTTTTAATAGAGACGGGGTTTCACCATGTTGACCAGGATCGTCTTGATCTCTTGACCTCGTGATCCACCCGCCTCAGGCTCCCAAAGTGCTGGGATTACAGGCATGAGCCACCGCGCCCAGCCTTTTTCTTTTTTTTTTTTTTTGAGATGGAGTCTCACTCTGTCGCCAGGCTGGAGTGCAGTGGTGTGATTTCATCTCACTGCAACCTCTGCCTCCCAAGTTCAAACAATTCTCCTGCCTCAGCCTCTCGACTAGCTGGGACTACAGGCACCAGCCACCATGCCCAGCTAATTTTTGTATTTTTAGTAGAGACAAAAGGTTTCACCATGTTGGCCAGAATGGTCTCAATCTCTTGAACTCGTGATCCGCCCACCTTGGCCTCCCAAAGTGCTGGGTGGGATTACAGGTAGAAGCCACCACACCTGGTGGCCTTAAGCAACTCTTTATAGGAACAGGAGGCTGAGAAGGAAAAAGAACATCAGGACTCCTGACAAAGGCAGTTTCTGCTCACTCCTCAGCTGACAGGGAACTCATATTTAGAAGCAGACTGCGTGTGAACCATGAAGACTGAATGCGCATTCTATTTCCCATAGAGGAGCCTAGGCAGCTAAAGTCCCTGCTTCATGTCCCGTCACCTCACCTCAGTTTCTCTCTCCTTCTCTTCCCTCCGAGCAGCACAAAGTCCTCGGAGCTCTCCAGATGACACATTCTCATCAGGAGATGCCATCTGAGACTTCTCTTCTTCAAGGCACTGAATTAAAGCTTCTTTGCTCTTCAAAGACAGCTTCAACTCCTCAATCAGTCTAAAAGAGAACAAAATTTAAATATTAATTCTAAGCTGTTCTCTTAGCTCAGTGGAGCAGGAGGAGGCAGGCAATGGGGCCAGGTATCTTCAAAGTAGACATATACAATGGCTGAATATAAACAGAATCACATTTTGCAGGGAGAAGATTAAGGGCCAGAATTTGTGTGACATTAACTGGTCCCCTGCCTGCCTCCAGCCTGGCTCCAGTCAATTCAACTCAGAGTTTCTGGATTTTAACCAAGCTTTGCTCCTGTTCAAATACCTTTGACAGCCCCCACCAACAGCAGTGGACTACTAATTTTCTTGGCCAAGAAATCCTCTCTCCAAAAGAAATGTCACCGAAATCTAAGCAAACAAAACCAACGAAGCAGAGCTGTTCCGGTGAGTGTGGAAGAAGTGGGATGTCTTGCCAAGGCTTCTCAGGGCAAAGTTCAAGATAAAGGTGAAACTCCTTCGCAAGCATTCTAGACCCCAGGTCTTAGGGCTTACCAGATCAGAGAGGCCCCTGCTGACAGCTTCGGTCTCCTCTCTCACAGGAAACCATAGCCCTCTCCGTCTCCACTCAGTAGCCTCACTGCCAGTTCCCTGTGGAAGCCAGACTGTTTCAAACCTCTACGCCTTTGCTTATGCTATTCCCCCCACCTAAAATGCTCTTCCCCACCCTACCCCCACCTCACCCCCACCTCTACATGACAAACACCCATTCATCCTGCCAGAGTTAATTAAGTATCACCTCCCCTCCAGGAAGCTTTGCTACCCTGCACCCCTAGGGTCCCCATCAGGAACAGCTGAACACATCCCTCTGTGGGCTGTGTTATCAAACACAATATAATTACCAAATTATCCCATATCAACTGCCCCTTGGCCATGGCAAGTAATTCAACCTCTCTGAGCCTGTGCCTCTTCAGCTGCAAAATAGGTTTGACTTGCGATTGTGGACCAGAGACAAGCTATTTAAAACAACCTTGCACCACTCCTGGAATATGGTGGAACTCAACAAATGACAGTTGCTGTAATTATTACTTTTTTTTTTTTTAACATGTAGCAATTAGCATTTTGTCAGAAGACCCTTGGAATAGCCTTTCTGCAGCTAGGGCTAGAAAGCAACTTTGTTTGGTAGAAAGAACAAAGGTTCTGCAGTCAGACAGAACTGCGCTAGTGAAACACAGCTTTCCAGGATGAAGGTAAGGAGGGAGACAAAGGTAACTAAAACACCTAGCAGTGCACTAGTATCCAGGGTGTCAGGCAGCACTGGTGCAATGTCCCAGAAAACCCGGAAAGAGGTGTAAGATTGCCCTCTAGGGGTTCAACTCTGAAATCGTCACGTAATCAATGGGAGAGGTAGTCACCAAAATATACACTTAAAATTGAAGCACTGAATTGTATGTAATTTATACGTCAACAAAACTAACTTTTTTTTTTTTTTTTTTTTTAGTAACCTTAAAGTAAGTTCTAGATAGGGAACAAAAAAAAATAGGCAGGCCTGGTAGGGACTCCTGTGGCCAAGCTGGAGCACCAAGCCCATGTAAGGGGAGCAGTAGCCTCAATCCAGCAAGATGATACCCAGGGCTGCCAATCTCCCAAGTTTTAAAGAGAGGCTGGAAATCCAGACTTCTGCATCAAATTCAATTTTTTACATATTAACAACTAATTCATACTTTGAAAAATACTATAAGCCAAACAGAACATATCTGTTGGCATATATGATCTGCAGGGCTTCCCAGAGGATTAAACTGTCTTAAAGACACAGAGCAGCTCAAAGGCCAGATTGAAGACAGTAAAGTAGCTAAAGCATGCACCTTTAAAGAGTGGTGGGAGCCCAGAAAGATACTGGCTGAGCCCATCCACGTAAGCGCTAAAGATTCAACAACCTGCCCTGCCCGACAGTGAGTCAATCGGTGTGGCAGATCTGGATCCATCTCACCAGGGCAAAACTCCAGTTCTCTGCTAACCATCTGAGCTTGACTTAGCTTCCTGGGCAGGCCTGCCTTCAGGGAGGAAGCACACTGATTCTACACCCACGAGAGTTTCACCACAAACAGGGCCACACCCTAAGCAAAAATCCACAGTTGGCATCTGACTGCTGCACTGGTCTCTGGGAGTGAACCTGGGACACAGCTATCCCTGAGACACAGCTGCATTCCCAGGACCGACAAATTGGGTTTCAGTGCCTGTCCAGACAGACCTATGGGAAATCACAGGAAGATGCAGCCTTTAGCAAAGCCATGATTCAACGTCTATGGAGACTCCACCGCCTAGAACACAGTAAGTACCTGATACATGTTAACCCTTCCCAAAGTCCCCCTTCCAAAAAAGATGTGCAATCAAGCTTCTGTGGCACATGCTAATAGGACCACTCTCCTCTAGGATCACCTTAAAATGTGCCAGGCTCTGTACTTTTACGTGCTGTTCTCTCTGCTTGGCAAAGCGTCCTCATCTAGCTCCTAGGACTCCTTGTGTGACAAGCCCTCCCCATCCCAAACACATCTTGCTCTTGTCACAGCACAGAACCCTGGGCTCACCTCTATCACAGCATCAATCATAACTTTTTTTTTAACATCTATCCCCTCTCACACTGGGAGCACTACAGAAGCAGGACAACGTTCAGCCTTGCATTACCAGCATGCACTCCCAAGGACATATTCAGTAATTGGTTAGGGACTGAATCTCTATTTTCTTTAATTCAAGCCTTAACCCATATATCCAACCACATCCTAGATGCTACTCACTGAGGCTCAAGGCCCTCAAACCCAGCATGTGCCAACTGAAGGCACCATCTTCCCTCTCCCTCTACCCAGAAACATTTCCTCTGTTTCCTTTTCCCCTGACAAAACTCAATGAACTGCACCACCCCACAGCTATGCATGCTCAAAACTTGGGCAAGGGCCAGTTGCTAAGGCTCATGCCTATAATCCCAGCATTTTGGGAGGCTGTAAAATCACCTGAGGTCAGGAATTCGAGACCAGCCTGGCCAACATGGTAAAACCCCATCTCCACTAAAAATACAAAAATTACCCAGGCTTTTTTGGTGATGGGCGCCTGTAATCCCAGCTGCTCGGGAGGCTGAGGTAAGAGAATCACTTAAATACAGGAGGCAGAGGTTGCAGTGAGCGGAGATCATGCCACTGTGCTCCAGCCTGGAGGACAGAGTTAAGACTCTGTCTCAAAACCTGGGCAAGGTGTATCGCTGTAGCCTCTCACCTCATCTCCAAATGCAGTCAGTCACCAAGCCCTTCAAGCCCATCATGTTTACCTTCTAGCCTGTTCTCCTCCATTCCCAGCTCTGTCACCTCCACCTTGGTCACCATCAACTCTTTCCGGGATTTCTGCATCAGCCTGAGAACCAGTGCTCTACCCAGCCCCAATGTCACTCCATTCCCAAGGACAGCCAGAAAGACCTTTCTAAATTTAAATCTGATCCTGTCATTCCCCAAAGCCCCACCCAACTCTTCAGTGGCTTCTTGTATGCCTTTAGGATAAAACTCAAATTCTTCAGCAAGGTCATGTCACCTCCCTAGCTTCCCCCTCTTCACCTCCTCCACCCTCCTTTCCAGAACACAGCACCCAGGCCAGGCCGTGCGCCCTCCTGTGTCTGGATCCTGCCATGTTTCTTCTTGCTTCTGGACTTTCACAGGCACTATTCCTTTACTTCCCTTTCTTTGTCCAAGTAATTTTTCCTCATCCTAGTACTTCTCCCAGGAAGCTTTTTCTAATCTCTCTAAACTGAATTAGATAAATACGTTAACACAGCATTGATCCCACTTAGCCCTTATCATCCTGCTCCTCCCTCTGCCCCTCCCACCCTGCTAGATGGTAAGTTTCAACCAAACAATGAGATTCCTGGGGAGAAGAACCCAGGCTGTATCACTCCCTTTTGCATTCTCATCACCACTGTGCTGAGTAGAAAGATGCTCAGGAAATATTTGTTGAATCAAAGGCGTAAAGATCCAATAGAACCAATGAACTGACTGCTCAGCATCTGTCAGGACTGTCACAGGGCCTTGTCTATTCACTCTGCCCCAGGACCTCCTTTCAAATCTATCCCAAGAACTCTCCTTACCCTTCACAGGTGCCAGGAATTCTGCCTGTCTTTCCTTCTTTGGTGGCTGCTCACATATTCTATTCCCTGGGTCCCCTGCTCCCAGTTTAACTCCTCCGGACCTGTAGTTCTCCCAGGAAGGCAGGCCCATAAGCCTTAGTCTAAGGGCCTCACAGCTGATGGGTTGGGAGGGACTCAAGGGAACACAGAAATGATTCTGTAGAATTCTCGCAGTCTAGAGGCTACATGGGTGGTGCCTAGAAAGGCCAGTACTCTGGGGGGAGGCTCAGTAGGAGGGCACATACCAGGGAAGTTTCTCTTCCCAGCCATGAAGTCAAGAAAAACACAAGGTCTCAAACGGGTAAACTGAGATAATACACATTCACTCCACTGAGGTCCACGGGGAACCCAGTTTCCTTACTCACCCTGAAATTATTAATCATCAAACTTCCATTTTCCAGATCTAAGCTAAGAAAAGATTGCAGAGCACCAAATAAATGCTTGCACCTCCAAATGCTGAAGCTAGGGCACTTACATGGAGGCATGTGCTCTCCCTCTGGGTCTATTTATTCCCTTTTAAGGATAATCCTATCCCAAGGATTGGGATTTGCTCATCTGATTTTCCAAGTGGCAGATTCCAATCTCCACAGGTGGTACCAAGGCAGAAGTAAAAGCAGACAACAGTTGAGGAACCAGGGCAATCAGGCCCAGAACCTACACAACACAGTAGTGCTCGTCATGCTGGGGCACCAAATGACCAAGAAAAAGGAGCCAGTCAGTATCCTCTGAAACAGATCATTTGCTTTGGAAGAATTTCTATCAAATTCCAAACAAGCTTGGCTCTTCAAAAGATAGGTCACAGGTTATCCAGCAGTTTCTTTTCAATTTAGTTAACCTTCCACTTAGTGACTGCCAAAATAAGGCAAGAGTATCAAAATGGAAGGTTCATGGTTAAGGAATAAAATCAGCTTTCTCCTGAAAAGTTTTTATCAAAAATTTGGTTGCAAAATATGACGAGCATTAAAGATTGCCTAGGGCTGGGCATGGTGGCTCACGCCTGTAATCCCAGCACTTTGGGAGGCCAGGCAGGCGGATCACAACTCAGGGGATCGAGACCATCCTGGCCAACATGGTGAAACTCCGACTCTACTAAAAATACAAAAATTAGCCAGGCATGGTGGCACATACCTATAGTCTCAGCTACTCGGGAGGCTGAGGCAGGAGAATCGCCTGAACCTGGGGGGCAGAGGTTGCAGTGAGCCCTGAGATCACACCACTGCACTCCAGCCTGGTGACAGAGTGAGACTCCGTTTCAAAAAAAAAAAAAAGATTGCCTAAAGGCCATATCAGCTATCCAATAAACTAAAAGGCATCTGTTTTATCCGGGATCATCCAAGAGCTCTGTATTTGGTCTACACTGTTTTATTTTTCACACCTTGCCCTGCACTAATTTGGGCTTTGGCCTGCATTAAAAGATATGATGGCAAACAAGTCACATGAATTTCTTGTGGGGGCAGTTACTCACTGTTCACTTTGGGAAGAACCAGAAGAGAAATCTCCTTTGACAGTGCCAAGTAAAACTGGGCTTCTCCTGAATTATTAGCTTGTTTTACTTCGTTTGCAATGTGAATCTTGTCTCTACCCTTTTTCCTTTGGCTCCCAGGAGGCTTACAGCCAAAATCAAATGCTAACTTCAGTACCTGAGTAGAATGTTTCAGCATGATTGTCTATCAGACTATCTCTGACCTCATATGACTATGCTATTCCTTCTCTCTTCCTGCTGACTTTATCCCTAGTTGTCTATCTAACTGTGTTCAAATTGTTCCCATTAGTCACTCAAGTCCTTCGGGAAACATGGGGAGAAGGGAGGGACAAAAGGTAAGAAAAGGCAAGAATTATTTCCCCACGCTTCCAGATAATGTGATGTCAGGGTATGACAAGGACAAGAGCCAGACCTGTCTTTCTCATCCAGGACCAGAGCCATCTCCAAGTCCCCCTCGTGCATCTTCTTCATCTCTGAAAGCTTGCTTTCCAAACTCAACCGAAGAGCCTTCTCCGTTTCCGTCCCTGCAAAGGCCTTTTCCAGTTCTGCTTGGGCAGCTTTCACATCCTAGAGTTAAATTAAATGCATTTGATGCAATTTTTCAATACAATTGGGAACATTTTGAAAGGAAATTGGATTAAAATATAAATATTTATGACTTTTTCCCCGGCACATTTCCCCTCCCTGAATTGTACTATACATGGAGAGAATCGGTAATAAATACATTTGCCAGCCATTTTTCCCTCTTGTATCCTGAAGCGTAATAGGCATTTCCAATGGAAAAGACTCAACTCTGTAAGAACTGCATTTTTGGTTTTGAAAAATCAGATCAATATTTACAGCTTCAATAAGAACAAGGAGAAATACTCCTCTCAATACTAAACATACATAAATTCCAAAGAGTCACCGTAATTTCCATACAAATTCTTCCCACACACCCCTACCGCCCTCACTATTTTTTTTAAGATAATGACTGAACAATTCTAAAGTACATTTTCTATATCTCCGAGGTGATTTAGGTGTCGGAGGGGGAACCTCTATGTTATTCCCAAGAGGTCAGAGAAGCCAATGAGGAAATTATCTAAATCATGCAGGCAGTGTCTATGTTAGGGAAAAAGGCCCTGGTGCTCATGAAAGTGACCTGGGAGTATATATGAATCTCCTACTACTAACACCAATTGCCTCCAATTATATCACAAAGGTAAACATCAAATAAAATTGGGTTCAAAACCCAGCTCTCCCACATAATTGCTGTGTGACCTCAGGTAGTTGCTAAACCTCTCTGAGCCTGAGCTTCCCAATCTATAAAATAGGGATAATCACCATCCCATCAAAAAGCTGCCATGAGTCTCTGTCAAATGTCTGCTCCATCACAGGAAGCTCAGAAAAAAATGCTGGCTCTCTCCTCCCCGCCCTCGCCCTCCACAGTGCTGCCCCCACCACTAATTCCCCAAGGGGCTTCCTGTTGCTCTCAATGAAAGCTGAAAAAAAATCACTTATCATATTCTTAGACAACATCAAAGCCTGTTATTTACTGAATGCCTACTAAATGCCAGGCTCTGAGCAAATAGCTTCATTCGTATTATCTCCGATCCGTATCCAACCCTAAAAAGTTGTAACCTGAGACAATAGAGTACAGCAGTTAGAATGCAGTTCAGAAGCCAGACTACCTGATATTTACTGCCTGTGTGACCCTCAGCAAGTGACTCAGCCACTCTGTGTCTATTTCATCATCTGTTTTAAAAAAAAAAAAAGGATGACAGAAGTATTCACCTCACAGAGGTTTACTGAAAAGATTACCTTTATGTCCGTAAAGAGCTTAGAAGGATGTCTCACACAATGAAACGGTAAGCCCACAATAAATTGTTAATACCACAGTTATTATTACAATTACCACTGCAAACCAGGCATCACTGTCCTCATTTTACAGATGATGAAGCAGAGGCTCAAAGCAGGCAAATACCTTATCCTAGGTGATAAAGCTAGTAAGTGACAGAGCAAAGACCTGGCACCCCAACACATGGGAAAGCACTTACAGGGAAAAACAAATGAACCAGTAAGTTACACCTCATAATTACAGTTTAGCTAAAATTCAGAATTTGTGATCAGGAGACCCTTCCTGTGGTTCTAGTTCTACCATTTCTGGCCTATACTATGTTTCTAACCCTCTCCAAGCCTGTTTCCACACCAGTATTTTGGGCCTAATATCTACATACCCCCAAGAGGACAATTTAAGGGCTGATGTGAACATCATAAATGGAAAATTGTAAACTGCAAAATACAGTGTCTGCTCTTTGTATCCAGAAGTGCTTTTGGTGCCATTTCTCTCCATATCTAAAAAGAACCTGGTTTCAGGTAGAGAAACAGTGATAAAACAATAGATTTCAAAGACCAAGAACTAAATAGTATTACTTAATACTAGCTTAAAATAGATAAGAACTTTTTAACATCTAGGAGACAGAATTTTTTAGCCAGGAAACATCCTGACTCCCATCACAGCGACAGGAAATACCTAACTGAGAATAAATAGAAGGAGAAGTGGCATGGAATGCTTCATAGAGAAAAGACCAGCAGGATGGTTGGAAAGAAGCTGGATACCAGGGACCAGAACTGGATGGACAAGCAGTGGCCTAATGGTCAGATGGTTCCAGGCTTGGTTACTGTTAGGTAAGTCATTTCCCTTCTCTGGTCCTCAGTTTCCACATAAATAATGGGATAAACTAGACAATAAGCAGAGTGGTGCTGTAGAAAAAGCATGGGTTTTAAAAATCAGCACAGTTAAACCCAGGATTAAATCTATTAGTATTAGATTAACAAGTTAGTACTTCTCACAGTATCTCAGCGACCTCATACAGAAATGAAGACCACAATGGTCAGTTTGCAGGGTAAAGGGGTTATAAATTGTACATGTAAAATGCCTGAAAGGGGGCTGCCATCCAGGAAATGCTCAATAAGGGTGGCTGTTGTTTCTGCTGAAACTGATGGTTTATGAAAAAAAGAAACGCAACTGTGCCAGCCTGGTATTAATTAACCCACTGTAAGAAATATGCTGCCCTCAGGATTTCCAGACTTGCCTTTTGTAAAACGCGTATTCTTTTGGTTAGGAGATCTTCCACCTGCTGCACCTTCTTTCGAGCATCTTCTTTCACCCGCTGGATTTCAGAGCCACCCGCTTCAGCTAAGCTCTCAACTGCTTTGCTGCAAAAAGAGGCACTGGTGTAAAACATGCAAGGGTGACGGTGTGATGGTCATTTCACAGCCCCAAAAAGACAAGGAATATTTGTTAGTCATCTCACCCACAGACCTGTGCTAGGCTTCTTTTTCTTTAGCTTAATATTCGTAATTTAAAAACACAAATAAGAAAAAAGATTCACCCATAATCTTGTCACTCAGGATAACTAAGTCAACATTTTAGCATATAGCCTTTAAGACATTTTCTACAAAAAAGAACCATTTAGTACACATCAGTGAATTGATTTTATTACTTAATATACGGTAAACATCCTTTTATGTCAATAAATGTCTATATCATTTTTAAAGGCTGCATATTAACTCAATGTATGAAATGTACTATAGTTTACTAAATCAATTCTCTATTTTTAAAACATTTAAATTGTTGCTTATTTAACACATTGTATCTGATGATACTCATGAAGTTCTGAGAACAGTGCCTGGTACAAAGTAAGTATTCAATAAATGTTGGTGATACCGTTTACTGTAACAAGCAATGTTATATTAAAAGCATCCTTGTATGTCCACTATCCAGTGACTTCCTGAGAATAGATTTCTAGAAAGGGAATAGCTGGATCACAGAGTAAGCCCACTGCTAAGACTCTGGACAGCTACTGCCAAATTTCCCATCGGGGGCTTCCAACAAAGTACACTTGCATCAGAAGTTCAAGGAGGGCAGAGAGCTGATCTGACAAACCGACGGGCAAAGGAGCAGTATGCAACGAAAATGAATCTGTGGAAGGAAGGGTCTGTACCCTTGATCTTCTGCCAGCTGAAGGGAAAAGCCTTTTAAATGCATCAGGATCAAATCTGTTCATGCACTAGCTAATACTTAGGGCATGAAGACGGGAGGCTACGTAAGCAGCCTACACTCCATGTTACTCTAACATAAAACACAGAGTACACACTGCTAGAGCACCATGGAATATTCTCTCCACATGACCGGCAGTGGTGGGAATGGCACACCCAAATCAGACACAGGACTGCAACCACTGATGCCAGAAGATAAACAGCGTCAAACATGACTCTGTAAGACTGTATGAGCAGTCCTCATCAGATTTCTAAAATGATTGCAGGTTTCCAGAGGCAGAATAATAAAAGAAATGCTTCCACCTAAGGCTGGTTTCTCAGAAAAACTGCAACAGAACACATCTATTCACCACCAGCTTCCCATGCCCTACTTTAGAGATATATAAAATTTTTCCAACTGAGAGCCATGTGATCAGACACTCACATGTACGAGCCATGTGAGTTTTTCACTGAGAACAATGGAAAGTCAAGAGGGCCATAGTTGTTGTCCAAGTCTCAAACATGAGTCGCCTGAAAATAAAGACTTTATTCATATCTTTTTTTCTTTTCACCAATAAGGCTTCAGAAGGCCCCAGTGTCATATCATTTTAATGAAATTCAATGTGAACAAATGAAAAAGAACATGGGCTCTGAAGCTGGACAGATCTGCTTCTAAATTTTTACTCTATTATATCTTCAGTGTGACTCTGGGTGAATTATCTAGCCTCAGTAAATTACCTCTCACACCTCAGTTTCCTCATGTGAAAAATGAGATGATTACCTCTCAGAATTAATGTGCTCACACATGTGGGCCTGTTCCTCTCTGATCGGAGTGCTTTGCATGCTAGCCCTTGGCCTCTGAGGTCCACACACCACTGGCTCCTGCTGAGCTGCTGTGAGAGGCCTCATGCTACCCTCTGCTGGGGTCTCCGCTGGCTACAGCCAAGATGGCTATTTCCATTTTCTGATTAATGCCATTGAATGCCATCAGCCCCCACTCCCTGGGCTCATTTCTGGATCACTGTCTTGAATTCACAGTGACTCACAATCATTTCTATCACTCCTTAAGGAGCATTATACATGATCAAAAGAATTCTGGACAAGAGGCCCCTCCTTCCCGATCCTTAGATACAGGATTTTTCCAGGAATGAATTTCTGCTACCCATTCATTAAGGTCTGAGGCATGGGACTTTATAGAGCCGCCTCTATAAAATGGCTCATTTGCTACCTCTGCCCTCACCCCTCCGCACTACCCACCAGAGTGCAAACACGCCGTCTCCCTCCTATCAGCCCAGATCTAACCTTTGTGTTTTGCCATCTGAATCACATACATTGTCAAGAGGCTGACTACAATTTTTCACAAGTACTATTATTATTCCATTTGTTTGAGTTGTAGTTATACCAATAAAATATATTCCCAATAAATGTCCCAACTTTTCATTTATCATTTATGTGTTTTACAGTTTCTGTAGCAATAAAATTTATACTCAGTAGTATGGTACAATTTCCCTCTACTAATGGAATTATTATTTTTGTTTGTGTTTTAAAGCTACAGAGATAAAATTTACTTGCAACAATATGACTGCTTTCGTTTTTAATGTCCTCTTACAGTAACTGATAAATATAACAATGGAAAACCAGCTAACAAATGTGTTTATTTCATAGCAAGGCACAGCATGCTCTGGAGCCACAGCAGTCCCTGCACATCTCCCCATTCCTCTGAAGCTCGGTTTTCTCTCCACTCAAATGGGAATACTGGCTGCCCACATATCTGATCAAATACAATAAAGCCTATCAAGTGCCAGGTACGGGGTATGGAACAGAAAAGGATCTCAATACGTGTTAGCTCCCTCCCTCAACGCTTTCTTTCCTTGCAGAATCTGGGCTAACACACAAGGTGGACAGCAAGACCTGAGGAGAGGAAAGGGTGAGAGAAACTGGTTTCATCTAGCTTTCCACCCAATACGAGAAAGCCAGATTTTGTAAACGCCAGCTTCACTACCCCTTTTAATCCTCCACATTTCCCCTGGATTCCTCCATTCTAATGATGGTTCTTCAGGAAAAAGCAGTGGCAGGTCTCGTGTCCTGTCCCCACACCCTGCCAAAAATCGTAACATGTAAAAGGGTGTTGAGAGTATTATATTAACATAGATATTTTCCATCAGCAAGTATCCACCATAGACATACTGCTGGGAGCTAGGAAACTAGGGTTAAAGAGAAAGGCATGGCCGGGCGCTGTGGCTCACAGGTGCAATCCCAGCACTTTGGGAGGCCGAGGCGGGTGGATCACTTGAGGTCAGGAGTTAGAGACCAGCCTGGTCAACATGGCAAAACCCTGTCTCTACTAAAAATACAAAAATTAGTCGGGCATTGTGGCACATGCCTATAATCCCAGCTACTCAGGAGGTTGAGGCAGGAGAATCACTTGAACCCAGGAGGCAGTTTGCAAAGAGCCAAGATTGCACCCATTGCACTCCAGCCTGGGCAATAGAGCAAGACTCCATCTCAAAAAAAAAAAAAAAAAAAAGAGAGTGAGAAAAGCATACTTGGTGGTTTCATGGTAGATACTGTCACTGAACAGATACATAGATATTATGCATATACTATATATGCATACAAAAATTTAAAAAAGAACATGGAACCTAGTGCTGAACTAGAAGTCATGGACTTGGGTTCTAATACCAGATGTGACCTATGGCCCCTCCCTTTTCCTGACCTATAGTCTCTCCTCTATGAAATGAGGGTATTCCTCAAGACTTTTCTAGCTCCCAGAACAATGATGTAATGTAAATGGAAGTGAAAGTGTTTTATAAACTAAAAGTGTCACACATAGAGTATTTTCATTCTGTACCAGTGAAGTCCATTAAAGAAACTGATGCGGGCTAGAGGAAGCCATGTGGTTCCAGATCTGAGGCTTTACAAAGGGCTGAGCAATGGAAAGCATTTGGGCTGGGAGGGGATGAGAGGGGAGGAGGTCTGCTGGGGCAGAGTTAGAGCAGCAAAAGCAAGAACGTTTTAGCATCCATGAATTGCGTTTGGGATAGAGTTGGTGGAGAGGAAGTTGGAGCAGTTAGGTCACTGTAAACATTCTTAAACAAAGCTCATGACATTAACCCCAGACATCAAGGCCTGTTGATTCTGCTTCCCAAATGTCTGATTCAACAGCTGCTCTGTTACTCACCTCTCACCTTAACCACTGAACTAGCTTCCTGATTGGTCTCCCAGCTTCCACTAGGGCTCCCTCCACGATCCACTTCCCACCCAGCTTCCAGAATGACCTTTGCAAAAACAGAACTCTGATTGTGCCTCTCACTTGAAACCCACGGCTGCTTTCCATGAGATCTTAGGATAAAGACCAAAATCTCTAGTGTTCTAGACTTCTCCTATTCCCTCAGACCTATACTTTCTCTTCTCCTTGAACATTTTCTCTACCCATTCACCTAGTTACTTCCTACTTATCTTTCAGATTTCATCTCAAATGCCACCTCTTCAGGGACACCTTCCCTGCTATAGAGCCACATCTATATATTTTCTCCCCTACCCAGCCGGGCACAGAGGCTCACGCCTGTAAATCCCAGTACTTTGGGAGGCCAAGGTGAGCAGAGCATGTGAGGCCAAGGGTTCGAGACCAACCTTGGCCAACATGGCGAAACCCCATCTCTACTAAAAATACAAAAGTTAGCTGAGCATGGTGGCACATGCCTGTAATCCCAGCTACTCAGGAGGCAGAGGCCAAAGAATCACCTGGACCCAGGAAGCAGAGGTTGCAGTGAGCCAAGATCACACCACTGCACTCTAGCCTGGCAGAGTAAAACTCTGTCTCAAAAAACAATAATAATATATATTTACTCCCCTACCTGTGAATTCTCATAGCTCCCTTTATTTTTCCTCATAGCTCTTTCCCCAACTTGTGTTTATATACTTATTACTCCAAGTATTTCATCATCATCACTCCCACTAGAATGTGAGCCTCATGCATCTGTTTGCCTCACCACTGTACACCCAGGAACCTAGTTCACTGCAGCACACAAGAGCCACTTAATAAATATTTTCTGAATAAATCAGTAAAGCTAGTCAGACCACACCAGGCTGAGTAGTTTGGGAAATATATACCTATAAACAGGTGCACAAGCCTCCAAAATACTCAATCCGGTGTGTTGGTACTGAGGAGTGTATACAAGCCTTTATGAGCTGAGGTTTCTATGTGTATGAGCTTAACTAAAAACAAGTCCAAGCCAAGACCTGCAGCAGACAGGGCACTGAGTATGAAGGAAACAAAATTCCATTACTGATCTTCAGGCTTGATAAAGTAGATTTGCCTCTCTGCCCAGAAAATGATGTACTTCAAACAACAACAACGACTTGTTAATCTAGTGATATTTATTACTTCAGTGATTCAGAAAGTACCATGTGTGCCAGTTCAGCATAACCTGGAGAAGAAGTCTGGGCCTGGTATCCTCTAGTCTGCTCAAAGCCAACAGCAGGCCAACTTCCAGCTGCTCGACTCTGTGGCAAGGAAGGGAATTATACCGGCCTGGCCCAGAGCAGTGCCGCCATGCCCTAAGCCAAGGACTCCATTGTCCTGGCCTACCACACCCAGCAGGAGCTGTATTGCCAGGACAAATGAAGCACTTCCACATAAGCTTTTGGCTAGATCCTCAGTGAGACAGCCCTAGGACGTCTTATTCCACTGTCACAGAACAAAACTGAGCACACTTTGGTGCCTCCACTTTACCCACAAATACCCTCCATCACTATACCTCCCTGGCATGTTATTTTTCACAAGTGTGATGGACAGCTCAACAGTCTCTTGGAGTAGAGAGGTGGAGAGCTGTCTCTTTTCAGATCTTCAGGCAGATGCTGGATTTGAAATACTTGTGTATTTCACAAGTAATTATGTAATAAATGTTTATGAATGAGTGAATAATCGATTCATAGGCTGTATTTGCTAAACTGCAAATTGAATAAATGAAAATACTAGTTTTCAAATGTTTCTTAAGCAGTAGAACCTCTTTCAAGTAAAATATTACAAGGGTCCCTAGTACATTTAACAGATCTTAAAGGAAAAACAAAAGTCAGTTATTCTGGCTGAAGCCCCATCCTCTGTCTCTCTGCCTCACTCACCAGGACCCCTTCAAATCCCTCCAGGCTTTTACAACCACAAGAATGAACTACTGATATAATTAACAACATAGATCAAGCTCACAAATAAATTGCTGAAGAAAGAAGCCAGACACAAAAGAGAACTTACCATACAATTCCTTTTATATAAAGTCTAAAAACAGGCAGCACTAACAGTGGCTAGAATGGTAGTTATCTTTAGGGGAGAAAGCTGAGTTGAGAACATGAAGAGGGCTTTAGAGGGGCTGGTATGTTCTGTTTCCTGATCTGGATGGTGGCTCCATGGGTGTGTTTCCTTGTGAATATTCATGTTGTACACTTAAGATCTGTTCATTTTTCTGTAAGCATGGACTACCTTAAAAGCTTGTTGTAAAGTAAATAAGTGGGCCGGCCGTGGTGGCTCACGCCTGTAATCCCAGCACTTTGGGAGGCCGAGGCAGGTGGATCACAAGGTCAAGAGATCAAGACCATCCTGGTCAACACGGTGAAACTCCATCCCTACTAAAAAATATAAAAAATTAGCTGGGCATGGTGGCGCGTGCCTGTAATCCCAGCTACTCAGGAGGCTGAGGCAGGAGAATTGCCTGAACCCAGGAGGCAGAGGTTGCGGTGAGCCGAGATTGCACCATTGCACTCCAGCCTGGGTAACAAGAGCGAAACTCCGTCTCAAAAAAAAAGTAAAGTAAATAAGTAAAAACAAAAACCTCCATGGAGACCTCAGAATCCATTTGGAAATCAACTGTCTTAGAAAAGTGTATGGCTCTATTTCACTGACCAACCCAGTGTGGGCAACCTGCAGGCTTTCGACAGGATGAGGGTACTCACGAGGCTTTGATGAGCAGCCGCTCTCTCTCCTGGAGTTCTCGCTTCAGACTTTCCACTTCCACCTTGAGCTCAATGTTCTTCAAGACAAGATTAAGAAAGAAAAGAAACAATGTAAAATACAGGCCCTATGAACGTCAACAATGGGGAAACTGCTTCCAGCAGGACTGACTACAGGACGCCTATAATAGGCAGATGTTAGATGATTCAAAAACCCTCATTAGCCTCAGGGTACAGGAAAAAGGGAATTATTCAACACTGGTGGTCTCAAAAGAAAAGACCTGAATTTCAGGAGACTTGGAACAATTATGTAAATGCGTCTAACAGCCAGAGCACTCAAATATCAAGGCATAAATGTCATACAAGTAAGGCTGATTTAAAAATTGTATGCCCTCCGTCAAGCAAATTTACAAGCAATTCTGCAGTGTGTTTTTCCCATTCCAAAGCAATTACTGGTGGTTGTTCACAATCATGCATGTGGGAGCTGTGGCAGTGCGGATGTGTTACAGCTTTAAAAAAAATAAAACATGTGGATGGAAAACAGGAGGCCACATCATGGCATGTGTCATTTCAATACAAGACTTCAGGCTTCTCACTTACAAAAAAGCTACAACCGCATGGGCAAGCTGTCTGTAAGGAACACCACAATGTTCTCCAACCAAATGTCTTCCTCCTAACTGACTGGAACAAAGGGAGTCACACACAGCTTTGGGCTTACAACTCACGTGAGAATCCAAGACAGAATGCTTGGCAAATGGAATGCAATATAAGACAGTGGAACAGTGGCAGGCTTCTCAAACCTATCCACAAATTAATCCCAGACAGGATGTGAGATGAACTCATGTAGTGGATGGAGGTTTGGATGCATAGTTTGTGGAGGATTGCTATAAATCTAAGATATCTTAGAAATCTCCCTTTTGTTTTTTTATTTAGAGGCAGGGTCTCGCTCTGCTGTTGCCCAGGCTGGAGTGCAGTGGTGCCATCATAGCTCACTGCAGGTCTCAAACTCCTGGGCTCAAGTGATACTTCTACCTCAACCTCCTGAGCAGCTGAGACTACAGGTGTAAACTGCCATGCCCATCTTTTTTTTTTTTTTTTTTTAATGGATGGGGTCTTGCTATATTGCCCAGGCTGGTCTTGAACTTCTGGCTTCAAACGATCCTCCTGCCTCAGCCTCCCAAAGCACTGGGCTTGCAGTTCCTCTTTTATTTTAATAATCCATCCCATTTTCACATTCTATTCCATAATACATGAGTTTTGTTTTTTTTTTCTCCCCAAGATAAAGTCTTGCTCTTGTCACCCAGGCTAGAGTGCGGTGGCATGATCTTAGCCTATTGCAACCTCCACCTCCCTGCTTCAAGTGATGCTCCTGCCTCAGCCTCTGAGTAGCTGGGATTACAGGGCGTCTGCCACCAAGCCCGGCTAATTTTTTGTATTTTTGGTTGAGACAGGGTTTCACCATGTTGGGCTGGTCTTGAACTCCTGTCCTCAAGTGATCTGCCCACCTCAGCCACACAAAGTGATGGGATTATAGGTGTGAGCCACCTCACCCAACTGCATGTGTATTATTTAAACAAAAATATTTCCAGGCCAGTGCAGTGGTTCACACCTATAATCCCAGCACTTTGGGAGGCCAAGGTGGGCAGATCCTTGAGGTCAGGAGTTCAAGACAGGCCTGGCCAACATGGCAAAACCTCGTCTCAACCAAAATTACAAAAATTAGCCAGGCGTGGTGACACATGCCTGTAGTCCCAGATTCTTGGGAGGCTGAGGCAGAAGAATCGCTTGAACCCGAGAAGTGGAGGTTGCAGTAAGCCGAGATCATGCCACTGCACTCCAGCCTAGACGACAGAGCAAGACTCTATCTCAAAAAGGAAAAATCATTTCCAGTAAAATTTACCATCTCAAAGGACATGCCTCCCTTCCTTCTGTCAAGCAGCCCTAGAGAAACAAGTACTTCAGGTTAAGAAGTACAGCCATGACATGGGTGTGTGACCAAAAGGACATGGGTTCAAATTCTGTCTCTACTCTACCTGTCTCTACTCTCTATCAGGAGAAGACCACAGAGTCAGTGGCTACTCACTTATTCACTCCTTTACGTCAAAGTGATCTTTGCATAAAGGACACTGGGTGACAGTATATAATGTCTTCAACTGTAATACTGTGAAAAACGCAGAAACATCCTTCAAACAGAGGATTCCTTTTCCAGCTCTCAGAAGGGTGGAGAGCTTCTATTCATGAACTGACATAATATACTCTAAGTGCTTCACTTTTTGATGACCCAACAAGCACTCCAATTTAATAAATTTAAAATAGTGAATACTAATATGTCCATTAGGCTATTTTTCTCAAGCCCAATGGATCTCAAGTTATAAACTTATATACATAACGATAATTTCCAAACCGAAAGTAAGGGCACCTTCAAAGCATAAAATGGAATATTATGAAACTATAAAAAAAAAAGCAGTTTGGTGTGGTGGCTCACATCTGTAAGTTCCAACACTTTGGTAAGCCCAGGCAGGAGGATGGCTTGAGGCCAGAAGTTCAAGACCAACCTTGGGCAATATAGCAAGACCCATCTCTACAAAAAATAAAAATTAAAAAGTGCCAGATGTGGTGGTGTATGCCTGTAGTTCCAAGTACTCAGGAGACTGAGGTGGGAGGATCCCTTGAGCCCAGGAGTTCAAGGTTGCAGTGAGCTATGATCAGGCCACTACACTCCAGCCAGGTGACAGGGTGAGATCCTGTCTCAAAAACAAAAAGAATAAAGAAATTCATTGTTAAACTGCTAATGAAAGAAAGATACCCAAGATATCACTGAGTAAGGCTGGGCAAAGTGACTCATGCCTGTAATATGAACACTTTGGGAGGCCAAGGCAGATGGATCACCTGAGGCCAGGAGTTTGAGACCAGCCCGGAGAACATGGCAAAACCCCATCTCTACCAAAAATACAAAAATTAGCCAGGCATGCTGGTATGCACATGTAATCCCAGCTAATCAGGAGGCTGAGGCACAACAATCCCTTGAACCCAGGTGGTAGAGGTTGTAGTGAGCGAAGACTGTACCACCGCACTCCAGCCTGGGCCACAGACAGAGACTGTCTCAGAAAGAAAAAAAAAGGATATCATTAAGTGAAAAATGTAAGGTACAGAACAGGACATGCTTGCATTCATGTAAAAAGAGGGTTTATACACATACACACACAAATACAAACTTGCTTGTACTATATATACATAAAATTCCTCTGCATAAGGAATCAATCGTTATTAGATCTAGAAAAACAGGACACAAGGGTGGGAGAGTCTTTTCAGTGTATATCTCTTAGGGTTTTTGAATTCTAAACCATGTGCACCTATCCAAAAATTTACACTAAAGAAAGGGGCAATGAAATCAGGTCCGGTCGGACAGCTGAAGTGGTACGGTACAATGAGGTTAGAAGACCTGGGCTCAAAATCCACCTCACGTAGTAGCTATATGGCATCAAATGGGTTACTCAACTTCCATAAGCCTCAGTTTCCTCCCCTGTAAGATGAACAAAACTCCACTGCATAGAGCTACTGTGAGAACTACAATAAGATGCAAATGTACAGATGCCCAAGACAGTGCCGGATAGAGTTGGCAACTGACACCTTTTATATTCCTACCACCCAAGAATTCCTTACACACATGACCACCATACTCACATATAAACTGCTTTAGACTATTGGTTTTCCTTTAAAAGTGTGATTGCATCACCACTCCCTTCCAGAAAAGGGGACATCTTCATTGTCTTTCCACCCACAGAGTGAAGAAAAAAACTCTCATAAGGGACAAAGAAGCTTTTCAATTCTTGAAAAGGCTCAGAAATACAGCACAATCCCTCTTCAAGACAAGTCAATTTAAGTTCATCTGCTGAAACTCAAGGAGAGTTCTTTTTCCTCCTTCAAAAGTTTCCACTGGTGCAAACTTCAGAGAAGAAAAGTCAGAATAATTCCCAGGCCAAGGGCTAATCTACTAGAAAAAGCTAAGAAACAGGCACTGAAATATTGTTTGCACTCATGTCTTTTCAAGAAGGCCAAGTTCTTTTTTCAACTTTCAGAACCATGGTTTGTTTTCAGACAAAGACCTCCAGGTCAAGACTTCAAATGGGGATAGCCTTTTCTTCTGACAGTTACGGGCAAGCACACAAGAATACAGAAGAGTCCTATCACAGAAAAACTGACAATCCTAACCTTGGGCTGCCAAAGGAAGCCTCGAGAAGACAATAATTGTCAAACACTGACTGTGTGCTGGAGCCTTTCATCTGTCTTCTCATTTTAATCCACACGAATAACCCTATGACAAAGGGATTATCGCTTAATTCTGGAAGCAAGCCCCAAGAGCTAAAGTGACTTGCCTAAGTTACACAAGTTAGCTGGTAGCAGTAGAATTCAACTTCAAAACCATTCCACCATTCCACTGCTAAATAACACATAATTATAAAAACTTAATTGAGGTAAAAAGTAGTGAATCCAAATTCTGACTTTTAAGAGAGAATGAAAGATTTCCTTAAAATCAATCATGTACCCCTTTGCTTAATATTAAAGTCATCCTAGTATCTTTATGCTCCCCATAATAAATTCAGATTAAATGAAAGCATCTCTATCTATTCACGCTAACTCTGAGAACAAATATCAATCAAATTTCAGCTTGAAATGACAATAAGAAAAGACACAAGGACAGCAATGAGTAGTGGGCCACTCACAGTTTTGTAGATGTGTTCAGTGGGACCATGAAATTCCTGTTGCATTCTTTCCTCAAGGAAATAGATGCGAAGCTTTAGGTTAAAGTTTTCTTTCTTCAACTCAGTGATTTGCTGAAAAATATCACAGAAGGGTCATCAAAAGCAAACAAAAGACAGAGGGTCCAACCGATAGTACATACATTAATCCCTATAGATTAAGAAGATACAAAACGGATTCAAATGTTAAATACTAGAGAAAGCTTATTTTTGCTACCATTGTACTAACCCAGAAGAATTAAGTGGTTCCCACTAGCCAAGGTTAGTACAATTTGAGCATTAAAATGAATAATGACAGGAATGAATGATGACTGAATAAAGAAAGAATTCAAAACTCCACACTGATAATAAGAAATAAGAAAAGGAAAAGAAGAATCTCTTCCTTTTGAAAGAAATCCAGTTAATAAATGTAGAAGAGTAAGAGGAACAGAAAATCACTATTGTACAACCTCTACGGTAATGACTGATTCAGGTAAGAATCAGCAACACTAAAAGCATTAGATGAAAGATCATTACAGAACATAATATTCAGGCAGTCTCAGACATACCACCCCACAAATGGCTTGTTAATTACAAAAGGAAAAGGTACCTTTAAAATTTAGAAACCTTGCAAACACCATCTTTACCAAAGAAATTTATCTTTAATCACCACTGAAGGGATAAACTAACATCATGTTCCTCCTGAAATAAATCAATGAGAGCAAACAATTCCATCTAAAGTGCTTCTGTCTATAACCGCTAACATGTATCTAATCAAGAGGAGTCTACCGGATAAATCTAATTTGAAGAACATTCTGCAAAACAACAGGACTGAAATCTTCAAAAATCTTAATGACAATCCTAAGGCAAAAATGTTTGGTGAAGTCTTCTAAATAAATGGAAGTTGAAGAGGCATGACTACTAAGTATAATAGAATCTTGACTTTCTTACAAAAACAGTTATATGATGATACCTGGGGAAACTGGAATAACAACTTTATATTAGGTAATGATATTATGATTTTACAGGAAAATATCCTAAGAAAGAGACACATGCTAAAGTACTGTGCCAAGACATCTGCAATTAACTCAAATGAGTGAAGACAGGAAAAAAAGAGATAAAGCAAATACAGAAAACATTAATTGGTAAATCCAGATGAATAACACATGATTGTTCACTGTACTATTTTGCAACTTTTTCATATGCTTGAAATCTGTCACGACAAAAAGATGGAGGAAAAAAGAATTAAGAAAAAGTATATTTACTGCAAACCTACCTCTATGTAAACCACCACCAAGCTAGATGATTTACACAGAACATGTCAATTTTTAAAATAACACTGCGAAAGTATCACCTCCACTATATATATGATCAAAGATCACACCACTAGGGGAAGAGCTGGGATTCCTGTCCTGCTGTCTGACTCCAGTAACTATGATCTGTCAATTAAACCTCACTGCCTATAGAGAAAATTCCCGATTTTTTGGTTTGGTTCAGCCAGTACACTTTTCTGTGCAGTCTAACTTAACTTTGAGAACAGATATGAGCCTACACAATAAAGCAATTCCTAGTATGTTTATATCACCTATTTAAATATCTAAATATTCTCTAAAATCCTACCAACATCCCAAGTTCTCCCTCTCTGTTTCACATATTTTTAAGTCTCTGCCTTTAGAGGGGAAAAAATCTCTCTCCTTAACACTGTTATACAGAGAGTGACAGAGCACAAGCTAGGAAGGGACTTTAAATTAGTCCAAGATGATGGTTACCTTTGGGGAGGAAAGGTGGGTAGTGCTTGGAATGAGCTACAAAGCAAACTTCTGGGGTACTGATAACGTTCCACATCTTGGCTTTGGTGATGGTTATAGGGTATGCTCCTTTTTTGATAATTCATTGAACTGTTCACATACAATTTGTGGGTAAGCCTGCATGTATGTTACACTTCTTTTAAAGTTTATTTTGTTTTATTTTTGAAATATGAGGTCTTGCTTATCACCCAGGCTGGAGTGAAGTGGTAGAATTACAGCTCACTGCAGCCTCAAACTCCTGAGCTCAAGCAACCCTCTCACCTCAGCCTCCCAAAGTGCTGGGATTATAGGTGCAAGCCATCACACTTGACCTCATTTTTTAAAGTTTTTAAAGTCAAATAGTCTATTAGGCTATGGTTAATGTGAATTACTAAAAGTCAATTCATCCATGGTTAAGTAAATTATAGTATGTCAATTCAATGGAATATGCTAGAACCATAAAGAAGAATGAGAGACCACATGGTGCACTCACAGGAAATTATCTCCAAGATACATTGTTAAATAAAAACACATGGTATGGAACATTATACAGAGAGGTTTTAAAAGGGCAGGGGATATGAATAATTAATTACCTGAGATGCTAGTATGCAAATTTGTACCACATAAATTTCCTATAAATAAATTAAATTTAAAGTAATAATAAGCGCAATCTTTTTTCCAGACTCTCCGAATTGTAAAAAGAGTACTGATGATATTGTACTAAACGCAGTATGTCTGTCCACACTAGTTTGTGCATCTGTTGTTCTCTTTCCATTCTCAAAGTCACTGTTTAAGCTCAGTTCTCAATGGTAAGGCAGAAAGATCAGCAGCTTTGGAGACAATATAAAGTTCAACCTTAACTCTCTTTTATGATACAACCTAGACATGCTACTTCTTTGAGCCTCAGTTTCCTCAACTTTAAAACAGGGATAACAAAATCAATCTCATAGCTTTTTGTGATAAGAAAATAAATGAATTTGACTATTTTGTGATAAGAAAATAAATGAATAAATGACATGGAGTCTCCCTCTGTCACCCAGGCTGGAATGCAATGGTGCTATCTTAACTCTTTGCAACCTCCACCTCCTGGGTTCAAGCCAGTCTCCTGCCTCAGCCTCCCAAGTAACTGGGTCTACAAGCATGTGCCACCATGCCCAGCTAATTTCTAATCGAGTGTTTGTTTAAGATGGAGTTTTAGGCCGGGCGCAGTGGCTCACGCCTGTAATCACAGCACTTTGGGAAGCCGAGGTGGGTGGATCACGAGGTCAAGAGATCGAGACCATCCTGGTCAACATGGTGAAACCCCGTCTCTACTAAAAATACAAAAAATTAGCTGGGCATGGCGGCGCATGTTTGTAATCCCAGCTACTCGGGAGGCTGAGGCAGGAGAACTGCCTGAATCCAGGAGGCGGAGGTTGCGGTGAGCCGAGATTGCGCCATTGCACTCCAGCCTGGGTAACAAGAGCGAAACTCCGTCTCAAAAAAAATAAAAGATGGAGTTTTGCTCGTTGCCCAGGCTGGAGGGCCATGGTGCAATCTCAGCTCACCCCAACCTCTGCCTCCTGGGTTCAACTGATTCTCCTGCCTCGGCCTCCTGAGTAGCTGAGATACAGGCATGTGCCACCACACCTGATTAATTTTGCATTTTTAGTAGAGACGGGGTTTCTCCATGTTGGTCAGGCTGGTCCCAAATTCCCGACCTCAACTGATTCACTCACCTCAGCCTCCCAAAATGCTGGGAATTCAGGCGCAAGCCACTGCACCCAGCCAGAAAAAAAAATATTTGAATAAATAATAATCTAAAACTTTCTAATTTTGGAAAAAGGCATAAAACATATAACTCAAGAAGCTCACCAAACACCAAACAAGGCAAGATCAAGGTAACTCACACCCAGAGACTGATGAACACTTAAGACCAAAAAAACCTCAAAAGCAACCTGAGAAAATGACATATTACCTATGGGGCAGTGAACAATGATTTGAATGGCAGCAGGTTTGTCAACCAAAACCACAGAGGTCAGAGGCAGTGGAACAATATTATTAAAGCACTGAAAGAAACTGTCATGCCAGAATTCTATGTCCACTAAAACTATCCTTGAAAACGAAGGTAAATGAAGACATTCTCAAAGGAAAACGAAGTAAATTAATTCATTGCCTACAGACCTGTTCTAGACCTCCTAAAGGAAGTTCTTTAGACAGGAAGGAAATGACACCAGAATGAAATGTGTTAACTTCAGAAATTAAGGAAGAGAATAACATAGTAAATAACTGAGTAACTATCTAGAACAGCAATTCAAATTAAAAATCTACAAATTCTTTAAATCATGTATGACAGCTGACAGCAAAGTTATAACATGGCCAGGTGAAATTTTCAATGGGCAGTGATATGACACGTACTGGGGATGGGCAGTAGTAACATTTTTACATTTCACTTGTACTAAAATGAAGAGTTAGGTATGTAGTGTATATTGTAACCTCTAAAGCAACCACTAAAAATGTTCAATGGTTTTTAAATAAACTATACAAAGGATGTGTTCAAAAACTCAGTACATTTAAACTGAATACTACAACAATTTAAATTATCCTAAGGAGGTTTCAAAAAGGAAACACAAGAATGAAAACCAGAGGGAAAAAATAGAACACAAGTCAGAACATGGTAAGCCCAAATAAAAATGCACTGCTATATGTTAAATGTAAATGGGATAAACACACTGATGAAAACAGAGACTGTGGGGATTTTTTTAAAAAAAAACCTGGTCATGGATCTGGAAAAAAAAAATTTTTTTTTTAAAGAAAAAGAAAAACAAACCCAACAATATGCTATACGTAACAAACCATTAAATATAATGATAGAGTAGGCTGGGCACGGTGGCTCACACCTATAATCCAACACTTTGGGAGGCTGAGGTGGGCAGATCACAAGGTCAGGAGTTTGAAAACAACCTGACCAAAATGGTGAAACCCTGTCTCTGCTAAAAACACAAAAATTAGCCGGGTGTGGTGACATGTGCCTGTAATCACAGCTACTCAGGAGGCTGAGGCAGGAGAATATCTTGAACTCGGGAGGCAGAGGTTGCAGCGAGCCGAGACTGCGCCAGTGCACTCCAGCCTGAGAGACAGAGCAAGACTCCATCTCAAAAAAAGAAAGAAAGAAAACCACAGTCTAAATCCTTCATGAACATAGACACAAAATCCTCAACTAAATTTTGGCAAAACGAATAACAGATTCATACATCATGAATGGGGTTTATTTTTTATTTTTAAAGACAGGGTCTCACTATGTTGCTAAGGCTGGCCCCTAACTCCTAG